TTCATTAATGTTGCAGCTTCCCTGGACAAGTTATGGCGGGAGTAGAAAAAACCGGTTTAATTCAGTCCTCGGACAAAAGGTACTTTCTCAAAAAAAATTCGGCCCTCTCATGTTGCATCAATGCAGTATTGTGTGTGGAGAGTATTTCTATTGCAAGCTTTCAAAGCTGGAACAGAGTAGCGGTCGATACTGTTTAACACTGGCTGGTAATTTCTCCAATGTGAACTTTCTGTATGGTTGTGTACTGATGCTTGCATTTCTAGTCTTGGATGCTGCGATCTTGCTGCTCGAGAAAGGAGTTCGGACCGATTCCTTATCTGGCTTCGTGATTCACTCCATGCATAGTATTCTCGTAAATTATTCCAATTGGAAGTTCAAAGAAAGGCACGAGCGATGGTGCATGTCTGCCAAGGTATTGCGTGTTATTCCCTTTCGTTCAAGTTTGATGTAATTTTCAGATTTATCAAATGCTCGATTTGGCAACGAGAGGAACTTTCTGGCACGGTGATAAGCTCAGAAGCGCCGTATTGGAGGAAATTCTAAACGATACTGTCATTCATAGTTTGTTGTTTCAAATTTTGACTGTTAGTGCGCATAAGCTAGAGGTATGTTAAAGCATGTCATTGTTCACTCGTTCTCACTGTTTTCTGCAGGAGCTGTATACATATCGTCTCGTTCCTGTAAAGGAGGTTGACACTCTGCTGCAAGCAATTTGTGCCGCACTGTGTCTCATTAATACGATACTTGAACATCACACGGTTTGTAATTCTTGTTCGTGAGGTTTTAAACATTTTTCGCTTTGGTTTTAGGATGCATTTGCCGTTTCTCCTCTATGCCAGTTCCTTTTCCACAAATCTGCTTCTTCGACTTCAGTTATTACAATTATCACGTCATACTTTGGATTTCAACGGTGCACTGTAAGACAAATATCACTATTAACAACATGCATACTAATAAAAATTTCAGAGGCTGCAAATTTTGAGTGCGCGTATCTTGGGGAAGCTTTGTGAGATAGGCCAAAAGGCAAAGCCCCAAGCTGTGAACCTTGCGAGCTATATCTCCGGTGTGGATTCGGTACGATTTCTTTGTTTTTACGAAACTGGCTGAATGCAGATGTGTTTGCAGAAGAGACATATGCGTGATTTTATAGAGAGAATTCTCTCAGAAAGTTCTGCGTTTGAAAGTCCTGCTCTTTTCGATTCCATTTTAAGCTTTGTTACTAGCGCTATCTCGTGGCAGGTATGTTAAACGCTTCTGTGCTCAATTGTAACTGTGTATTTCACAGCCTGGTATGCTGGAATTGCTAATTTCCCCTTGGATCGAGTCAGAGGCCGAAGCTGAAAAGGATGGAAATGTTGAAAAGAGTTCTGAAGTTTTGAATGCCATTTGGAATCTTCTGACAGTTCCTACGTCTTTCTCCAGACGGTATGATTTGTTCAATGTAGCTCTTAACTTAGTTTGAATTCATACAGGTACTTGGAAGTATTTTCTCGTCTCCTGTCCTTGCTGCTCTCAATATGGCAAGGTGGTAGCGAATGCCTCACTGGGATCACAGTGCTGAGGAATAAGAAATCCTTTTGGGAGACGCTGTCCAATCGAGCTGTTGAGCTTCTACATCCCGACATCTCATCCCAGGAAGAATACGTTATTCGTGCTCTGTGCCGTCGTTGTCAGGCGTCAATCTTTCAGATAATGATCTACGATATGTTTATTCAGTCCGTGTCAAGAACGGCTGAGTCAAAGACAAACGATCTGAAGCGAAGATCGAATGTTGTATTATCTGACTGGATTTCGTCAACTCAGCTTCGCGAGATTCTATCTTCCTACGTAGACTATGATCACTCAGAGGAATTCGTACTTCAAACAAAGGTGATCGACCATGACTTTGTTCATCATCTATCTAAATGCCTGACTTGCAGCGGGAAGCGAGGTGCTTTGTTATCGGTTTGCTGGTTAAGCTTTTGTCAGGTGACAACAAGGGGATGGATGTTTCATTTACCAAATGTCTTCTTCAGCGCTCCTCTCAGGTTGTGTCTATTTATTTCTCGGTGTGACTAATCTGTTTTTAATAGATACTGTCGCATCCTTCTTTCAAGGAGCTCGTGAATCAATACAGTTCTCGTGGTTATAGGTTTGTCATCACATTCTCATAACAAGGTTCTTTAGCTTTTCGGAAATTTTGCAGTTATTCGGGAAGCATCGAACTGCTGGTTATGAGCGACCTGTATTATAACCTTCAAGGAGATTTGCATGGTAGAACTATCTCTAATCGCCATTTCCAAGACATCTCGAACTTTCTGGCGGATATAGAACTAGATACGGCTTTGATTCCTCCTACGTCGTCTCCTACACTTCATGAAGATTTCCGCCATTATGACGTCAACTTACTCAGATCTGCGTTAGGATTGGAGTTTTGGGATCGAGATGGCGATGTATTGACCACCAAGGTTGCAGAAAACGTGCTCTACAGTCTTGAAAAAGCCAATGACATCATCCACAACGGAGCCGCTCACATTTCGGCAGTGACTAGCCTTGTGGACGTTGTCAAGATTTCTGGTGCGGAGAAGAAGGTAAGTGTAATTTTCGTCTTCGTTCTTCCAAATTTCTTACGTTTGGGTTGTCTCCAGAGTCAAGTCTGGACTTGCGACACTCTCAAAAGTTTAGTGGAACGAGTCTGTGTCCGACTTGAGAGGACCGTTACATCTGCAGAGATGGATCGAGCAATCTATGTGCCGAAGTTCGTAGCATGTCAATCAAAGCTTCTCGAGGCAATGATGTGGCAGATATTGATTTCGCCAGAAACCAATGCTGAAGAGCACAAGCTACGTGGAATTTGTGCGACCGCTATCACCACATCTCTGAGCTGCATCAAGTCTATATTGGACTCTCAACGTGCCAAGGACGTGACTCTCAAGGATCTCTTTGGGTGCCTGCTGGTGGCGCTTGAAGTTATGTCCGCAAAGGTGGAACTTACAGGCGAGGCTGACTTCGGTGCCGAAACCTTGAGCTTTCTTCCAATGCTGTGTGGCATGGTTGAGAACAAGGACTACAGGTGCTTGGCCTTGGCTGCTATGAACATGGTCATCAGGTTCTGTCTGGTTCCATCAACGTGGATTCCTATCTTACAGGCTCATTTTCCGACCAAGTCCCTCGTATCGTCCATGGCACTAGGGGGCGATGACAACACCCGTGCCACTGTTATGAGCTTCTGTCTCTATCTATCCTGCTTCAAGAGTGGAGCGGAGATGCTTTTCACTGCGGGCTTCTTGCACTCTATATCATTGGTTAGTCACCGTGGGGAGGAAGACTATGGAGGAGGACCGTTTTCCATATCAATGACCGAGACGTCCTCACAGCAAGCAGTGTGGGCGTTGGGTGTGGCCGCAGTGGCTTCTTTGCTGCGTGCTCTGGGGGACAACGACGCATACCGGGGAACTGTTCTGGACACCACCATCTCCTACTTCAAAGCTGAGAGGCATAAAATCCTCTTGGCGTTATGCTCTCCCAACGTCTGCGTGGATTCAGAAGGCAGAAAGGTGGCAAGATATCATCGTGCTCAAACGAGCTCCTCGGCGCTTCAAGAGGCCCAGTACGTGACGGCTTTTCTGTGTGAGATTATCCGTCATCCTATTGCTGCCGTTTACACCGTCCGAGACGAGCTCGTCGACTTCCGCGAGATGGCTGTGCATCTGCTGGCCTATGTTGCACGCGAAGGATTAGTTCGGTCGGCCACTGGCGAAGGAGTATCGTGTCCTCCTCTTCAAAGGCAGGAGACGGTCGCTCTTGCAAAGGCTGCCACCTTGGGTGGCACTTCAGCGTGGTTTCTTCTCACCGCCAGGGGCTCTCACAGGAAGCCGCATTCTGCGACCGGGAACGAGCTTGATTCTACGTCGGGCTCTGAGTACTCGGAGTCGATCGCGATTCAGGTGTACAGGCTTGCCAACCTCCTGCTCCGCTTCCTCGTCATCCAAGCCCGGCAAGCATTGCAGGACATGGAAGAAGGCCGGTCATCGGCTACGAAAGGCCGCTTTCCAGAGCTGCCGGCTCCCGAGATACTCCACGCATTGCAGGTAAATCAGATTGACGAGCTTACACTCCTGAATGACTGTTTCTTCCAGGATCAAGTTATGCTAGTCGCGTCCGAAATCGCTACCAGCAAGGCAGGATCTTCACTTTCGAAGGAAGCTGGGGATACGTGCTGCATGCTACTGAGTATCCTGGAGAAGTCCTTGTATCTGGAGGCGTGCATTTTTCGGGTGTGTGGCGTCACACCAGTCTCGCTGAGAGCAGACGATTTTGCGAGAGATTTCAAGGCACTACTCCGAGGTAATAGCTTTACCGTTTTTGGAGTAAGTTCTTCTCTCATGGTCGTGCCTGGCCTGGTTTCTTCGTTTCTCTGCAGTCACAGCCGGGCATGCGAGCTTGGAGCCATCGCTAGCGGGCGTGAGAGAGATTGCCTCCACTGTTTATCCCGGCTTATAAAGTGTGGCTTTGTGGTATGGGCCTTTAAGCCCAAGGGAGTTGAGGGCCTGGTAGACAAGTTGCAAGGGATCTCTTCCAGCCTCTCGGGAAGAAATGAGAGTAGCAAAAGGTTTATGAAACTTTGGCTACGTAAAAGTTATGCATCTTGAGAAACGTCTTTGGGGGAGCGCTGCTCAATCTTTGATGCAAGCTCGATCGATCGCTTTTGGATTTGGGTCCAAAAGAAACTAGAAGAGACTCGTTCGTCAGAAGATCAAGGTCCTGTCAGAAGATCAAGAAGAATTTCTTGCAAATATTTTCTTTCTACGCGCCTGTAACGATCTTTATCAAGGCTCTGTTATTTTTCTATCAAATGGGTTTTTGTCAACTTCGGTCAACATGGTAAATAACAGGCTTTGCCTAGCTGGCAGAATTGTGGTCGTCCAACTGGCGCAAAAGTAGGTGCCTAGAACCCCCCTCAAAACCCTAGGGAACGAACGTTCTTCTTTTTGGCCTTCTCTCTCTCTCTCTCTCTCTCACTCTCTCTCTGGCGCAAAGGAGGAGAATGCCCAAGAGGAAAAGAGAGGAGATGGGCGAGTACGAGCTCATCCGGCAGGCGAGGATCGAAGAGAATCGCAAGCGAATGCAGGAGCTGGGCCTGGGCGCCCTCAAAGAATCCATGTCCGCGGACATTGCCACCAAGAAAAGGAGGCCGCCGCCCACGCCCGCCGTCGTCCGACCCTCTGGACCCTCCAGGCGATCGGCAAGGTTGTCTCTTTTCTTTCTTTTCTCCTCCAATAGCTCTCCATTTCTTTATCTTCCTTGTCCAGGCTCCAGTCGTGTCCGGCTCCTTGCTATCGCGATGTGCAAGAACGAAGCTCCTCTCCATCCGAGCGCCGCTCTCGTCGTAGTGGGCGCCTTGCAGGAACCGGCGGCCCCATCCCGGAGGTGTACACCCAAGAACACGAGAAGCTCCTGGGCTGCGCCAAGGAGGAGTGGCAGCTCTTCGTGGATGGCTACAATGGAGGGGAGCGAATCTACGACGCCTTCTCCGGCAAAACATGCCACCAATGCAGGTTAGCATCCATTCTTTCTTTCTCTCCAATGCCTATCTCTCCTTTCTTGGTTGATGATCTACAGGCAAAAGACTGTCGGTCTTCGCACCTTTTGCTACGAGTGTGAGTCGCTGCACGGCCAGTTTTGCGGCGACTGCCTGTTCATGAGGTAAGGCTTTCCAAGGTGTCTCTTTTCTAGATTCCTTTTGCATATAGATATGGAGAGAACGTCAAGGAAGCTCTTGCGGACAAGAGTTGGAAGTGCCCGGTGTGTAGAGGCATCTGCAACTGTAGCATCTGCCGGACCAGGAAAGGCTGGGCTCCCACTGGGAATCTCTACAGGACGGTAAAGAGAGCTACACGAGCTTTGTGCCGTAACAAACGTAGCTTTTTTGCTTGTTTGTGCAGGCTTTGCGGATGGGCTACAAGTCTGTAGCACATTTTCTCATTCTCACGCGGCGTGGTGGCGAGGAAGGGAAGGAAATTGAGCTTGCTGGTGATGTCGTGAAGGACGGAGAGCTCGAGAGTGAGGACGAAGACGTGATCAAGGATGAGAGCAAGAGCATCAAGAAGACAACCCAGGGGAAGAAGAAGAATCAGAAGGCCAGGGCTCGAGCAAAGAAGAAAGTGGCTGCTAAGGACACGGTATCTTCCGAGGACGAGGCTCCTGTGAAGCGGGAGCTTAGATACGGTGGCGATGAGGACCGGGTGATTCTGGTGATATCGGACTCGGAAGAAGATGGCGAGGAATGCAACAGGCAGCAGCCAGTGGTGGCGGTGAAACAAGAGCGGCAAACGCAGCATATCGCCGCAAGGCTCCGCTCTCGAAGAGTTCAGCCCTCCAGAGTGTGCTGATCAAAGTTATCTTCTTTACGTTATCATGTATAGCGATTCTTAACTATATTGTCACATCGGATGCCGGATAGTTCATGCGGTGATGTGGTCATGACAGGTTTAATGCTAAGTGCTACAAATCTTGCTCGCAGAGTACTCGCTGACGAGCTTGCTAAAATGTGAAGAGCCCTTGTCAAGCAGTTTCGTGGGTTCATCATACTCCACCACTCGTCCTACAAAGTTATCTCTCTTAGGCCTGGAAAGAGAGAAACAGAGTTGCTTACCATCGCTTAGGACGAGGACGAGATCACTGCCAATGACTGTAGGCAGCCTGTGAGCGATGGTAATGACGGTGCAGCCAGTGAACTCCTTCGAAATGGTCGACTGAAGGACCGCAGCAGTCGCAGTATCCACGGAAGCAGTAGCTTCATCCAGCACCAAAACTCGGGCACGCTTGAGCATCACCCTCCCTAGGCACAAGAGCTGGCGCTGCCCCACACTCCAGTTCTCTCCATTCTCTGAGACTGGAAAAACGCACGAGTTTTAAAGCGATGTACGAGATCGAACGTAGACTCGGGTGTAGACTGTACCAGATGCCTCAAGTTTGCCCTCCTTGTTGCGTACCAAGTCGCCAAGCTCAGACTTGTCCAGTGCCTTGCAAAGAAAAGACAGCACAGTAAGATCAGATCAAACAAAACAAATTTGTCTCACCTCCCAGAGCTCAGCATCACTATGGCGACCGAGTGGATCCAAGTTGTAGCGAACAGTGCCTTCAAAGAGCACGGGATCTTGAGGAATGATGCTCAGCCTTGAACGCAGGTCATGAAGCCCCAGTCGACTTATGTCAACACCATCGATAATGATCCTCCCTCCCGCTGGCTCAATCACTCGGAAGATGGCCTGGATGAGCGTCGACTTGCCGCTACCCGTTCGTCCCACAACTCCAGTCTTCTTACCTCCCGGAAACTTGCAAGTGATGCCGTGCAAGACAAGTGGGGAGGTATCTGTATAGCGCACCTGTTCGAGTGTTTTTGGTCATCATTTGAGCAGTGAACTAGCAGCTTCGAACCTGCAAGTCGACGAGCTCCACAGTTCCATCTGAAGGCCAGCTCTCTGAAGGCTTCGTTGCTTGGACTTTCCATGAAGCCTCACTCGGAAGGCAACTGTACTGCTGAATTCTCTCCACGGATATGATCACCTTCTCCACAGTACATAAACACCAGAGGACCCACGGGAGATCCATGTTCAACCCATACGTCACTGCCAGCCCCGCTAAACCTGTGCATGCCGTCCGTTCGCAATAAGATGTCACAACACAAAAGTGGAGAAACTTACTTGGATCGACACTGCCTGACAAGTAGACGAGCGTGAACAAAAAGACGGCGAACATGATGTTGGTTAAGAACTCGAGTCGCAGGGTCGCCCACGCCATGGCTCCGGTGGAATAGAAATCCGGCCGAGAAAAGTCGTCTATGAGTGCAAAGCTGCGTTTCGCGAAGCGCTCTTCCTGATCGAATCCTCGGATGGTGGCTACCCCAGCTAGTGACTCGGAAAAGTGGTGAATAATGGGAGCTTTCTGCGTGCCTTGAAGTCTTGCCAGTTCTCTAGCTGATGCCATGTAGTACCTCTGTGATAAGAAAGATCATAACCAAGCATTTGTGTTCATCAATCACGCACCTGGAGCTTGACGCAGAGGATCGCCACAGGCACAAACACGACTGAAACTTGCCACACAGATTGCGACAGCACTCCAACCACAAATATGAAATGCGTGGTTGAGTTTGCAAGACCACCAATCCGAAATGGTACGTCCAGGTCTAGAGCGCTCTGATCAGAAGATGCCTGTCAAAAACAAGTGATAGCTCAATGTGAACAAGAAGAAACAAACAATGTGCTTACCCTGCTGAGAATGCGACCGGCTGGAGTGGAGTCGAAGAAGGACATGGGTGCATGGAAAATATGGTTGAGCATGTTGAAGAAGAAAATCTGTGATGTTCCCAGGCCCATAATGGCTATCAGTACCATCCTTCCAAGAAATAAGAGTGATCCCCCGAGTGTCAACGCCACATAGACACCGATAAGCTTGGCTGCGGCAACCGAAAGCTGTGAGGTTGCTGCCATCCACCAGTTGCCAGCAAGCTGAAACACCTGGAACGCTAGCGGCCCAATGGCTATCAGCGGAATCAGGGCACCTTTGTAGTAAGCTGTGCAGTAACTCCAGTACAGTGCCAAGTGTGTGCTGCCCTGCTCGCGCTCCTCTTCCTTAACCAGCTGTTGCAATTGGTTCGCCTGTTTTGGCTGCGGACTCATGGTACCAGCAGCAGCGTTGTCGTCAGCGGCGGCGGGCAGAACTTGCTGAGACTTTGAACTCTGATCTACAGACTCCATCGCCTTGTTATGTGCATGCACCAGCGTGTTGAAGTCAGCTTGACTCTTCAGCAACTCTTGGTATGTCCCCTGCTGCGTGATGCAGCCATCTTTGAGAACCTGAGAACTTTCGATCGTCAGAAAAAGACAAGCAAATCTGCAAGAGCGAACCGCTTTCACTTACCAGTATCGAGTCAGCAACAGCCAGGAACTCCACTTGATGAGTTACTAACACCACTGTCTTGGACGCTAGCGCTTTAAGGATGATTTCCTGTACATGTGAGGTTTGAAATGAGTATATACGCATATATGGAGGGAGAGACGCAATACAGAGTTAGCTCCGTCGAACCTTGAACATGTGAGTTCCAGTCTCAATGTCGACAGCACTGAAAGGATCGTCAAGCAAGTAGATATCAGCGTCTTGGTATAGAGCACGAGCAATCTGAATCCTCTGCTTTTGTCCACCACTGAGGTTTATGCCTCTCTCACCAATCTCTGTTTGGTCACCATAAGGAAGTACCTCCAAGTCCTTTTTCAATTGGCACATTTCCAGAACTTTGTCATACCTGGACTGATCCAAAGGACTTCCAAAGAGCACGTTGTCCTGAACCTTCCCACTCTGTATCCACGCAGTTTGCCCAACATACGCAACTTTCCCATGCAGCTCGACCTGCGTGCATGAAAAAACATGAGATTTTCGAGTCGAGTCAAGGTCGAGTCAATGTTGGCATCCAATTATATAAACGTTTACCTTTCCCGCAAGTTTTGGCACTTGTCCCAGCAAGCAGGAGAGTAAGGTTGACTTTCCAGAACCCACCATGCCGCACACTGCCACAGTAGCGCCCTCCCACACGTGAAAGTGGATGTTAGAGAGCGAGAGCTTCTCTGGAGAGCCATCCCAGCTGAAGGCACCCCCTTGAACTTGGACAGCAAACTCGCCTGCACCAGCCCTGGGCAGTTGGGAAACAGCATCAGCTTGGAGTTCCTCTTCCAGCAAGAAACTGGACAGCCTGCGGAGAGAGACCCTTGCCTGTGCGAGTACGGACAAAGTGTCGGGGAAGCTGCTCAGAGGCGCCTGGAGAACTCTGAACGTAGCCAATGCTGAGAGGACCCTGCCTGTCGTGAGGGGTACCTTGAGAAGTATGCAAGTCCCGAAGGTGATGATCCCAACAAATGCCGGCGAGATGTAGAAGAGGAAGATGGAGACAGCCCGGTTATACGAGATCTTTCTGAGCCAGTCATACTCTGTTCTCCTCAGAGCTTCCAGCTTGTTGAGATAACCCTCTTCCCAGGCTTGCAACTTGAGGATCTTCATGCTCCGCAAGCACTCGGCTGTGGCTCGCATCCTCACGTCCTTGGCCTTCATGATCTGTGCCTGGTATCCATCCTGCATGCTTGTATAAGGCAGGTTCACGGCGACGGTGGCCACGGTCGCCACCAGAGTCGCGATCGCCGCGATACCGACGCTCTTGTAGAGGATGAGCAGCGCCAGGACCACCTCGAGAGGCAGCCGCCAGAGATGGTGGATGAACTCCAAGCAGCTGGCCACCCCAGCGGTGTCGACGGCCATGTAGTTGACGATGTCACCGCTGCCATGAGCCTGCCGCGAGGTGCTGGAGAGACGCAGGCCCTTGAGGTAGAGCAAACCCGTGAGTGCCGACTTGCTCCTCAGCTCGATGATCTGGCCTTGTATGAGCCCCTGGCTCTGTGCCCATCCCCCAACAAGCCCCGATAGCAGCAGGATGAGCGCTAGCATGACGAGGGACTTGCCTTCAGCCCCGCCCAAGCTCTGCACCAGGTCGTCCATGAGGTAAGGTCCAGTGTAGGAGCACACCATCGCCACCAGCTGTAGCGCCGATGCCACCGCCAAGTTCCTCCATAGAATGCTCACCAAGCTCCTAGAGAGGCGGTAGGATGAGCTTGCGTTTGCCTGCCATGCCCTGCTCATCAGCTGGTGCACCGCCGCGGCACTCTCGCTGGGTGCGAGCTTGGGCAAGTCTTTGGATTCCAGGGCCCTTTTTGATCCCACTTTCAGCAGAGGCGCCACCCACGAGAAGGTGGCCAAGCTGAGGAGCCCCGCCTTTGTGTACGGAGCTTGCTGCTCGTCGCCATCACTTGCTTGCGCTTGCCCTTGCCACAGCAGTGGCTGTCGCAGCTCTGGATCGTTCTCTTCTCTCGTCTCCATCAAAACTTTGACAACACCAGACAACGAAAATAAGGGCGTAAGCGCTTTAATTAGCTTTGATTCTATCAAAGTTTACATTAGTCACAACTGCCACGATCATTTGAGGCAGCATCTTGTTTGCCGCGTGACGAACCCCAGCAGAGAACTATGCAACATCCCAAGAGTGTTTTCCCTTTTAAAAGATTTGGTGATTTTTAAAGTTTGTGAGCTCCTCATCTTCCTCTTCAACAGGGTGTAAATTAAGAAGCTCCTATAAACACAGAGCACTGCTGGTCTAGTGGTAGAATAGTACCCTGCCACGGTACAGACCCGGGTTCGATTCCCGGGCAGTGCATTTTTCTTTAACTTAGATGGGTGATTTTTTTGGCCCTTCGATGTTGCTACGCGAAAGAAGGAAACTGTACTTATCCACATTGATTTTTACGCATTCAATCACGTCGAGTGCCATGCAAGGTCATTCAAGAAAGGATTGCTGCTACTCCCCAGTAGATCCCTGTACTTACGCGGAGAGATTGGAGGAGGAGGATAGAATACTGATTCGCTCTCTCCTAGTAGCGATGGCTTCTCGTGGAAATCTTCCACTCTTTCATTCGTCTCTGGCCTGGCAAGCAAAGCAAACACTCGCAAAGGAGATGACATGGAAACTGTACAAAGACTTGCCTCGTTTTTGCTGTTGCCAAGTATGACTCTACGGCCTCTGTGAATCCTGGTTTGTACGAGAAGAGCACGCCACGGAAAGGCTTGCCATCTATTCTGGTTTCGAGCGTATATCCGTAATGAAAAACGCTTGTGATCTTGCCTTGGAAGATCTTCTCGGCCACTGGCTTGACGCTATAAGGAGAAGGGATCTGGACCGCTCGAGCAGTGGTCTTTGTTTCTGGTCCGTCTGCAAGAGGGTCTCATAGTTTCCCGGGCAGAAAAGATATGAAACTTGAAAACTCACCGCTTAGTTTTGGGCGTTTCAAGCTTGGCTCGCTGTCAGACGAGCTGGACGAGGAAGTGGACGAAGAAGCTTGCCTTGTGTTCCGTCTGACTCTCAAGTCCCTCTTAAACGACACCTCCGGCTGTTCATGCACTTGTTGTTGCTGCTGTGAACCATCACATTCCTGTTGCTGATTCGAAGTAGTAGAAGTCACAAGATCTGCAAAAATGTTGTAGAAAGAAAAAAGTGATGACAATTTAGTGCGATACCTGTGTGCAAGAAGAACATCTCAGGAAGTGCTTCAAGCTCCCCGTTACATCCACCGTAAAGTGCGACAACACCTCTTTCCGGATCGATCAGATCGCTTGCGAGAGAGAAGCGGTGAGAGGGCCCGTTTCCCGTGACTTCTGGCTTGTGCCACTCACCACTCACTGGAAAACTAGGTGTGTTAAGACCAGGTTAGATAGACATGACGCTATGAAACGGAAAGGCAGACAAAGAAAAAGGTTCCAACTTACGTAGATCAAGAACGTAAACATCGTCGAAAAGCGTTCGTTTGTCCGCAAAGCCACCAAAGATGATCAAGTTGTCGCCAATACGCTCGGCCGCGTGACCGGCCCTCGGAGCCGGCTTCACGCCACGCGTTTCCAGCCTCGACCACTCCAAGCTTCCTGCAGTCGACAAATCTAATCTTCACAAGAGAAATTCATCGGGCACGTCTTACCTACATCGAGAATGTAGATGTCCGCCAAGTACGTGTTGAGCACATCCTCTCCTCCGAAAAGAACGAGCTTGTTTCCAAAGCACGACATAGAGTGGCTGTCTCTTGAGCAAGGCCGAGGGCCCGATGTCAAAACTTTCCTCCACACACATGAAGCTACGCACACAAACAAAAGCTCATCTTCACTGTGAGAAGGACAAAGTTAAGGACTTACTCGTGCTGAGCGCATAGAGATCGTCATAGTAGACTTCTTGAGCCTGGCCTTGTTTCTTCTTGCCGCAGCCGCCAAACACGTAGAGGTCGTCGCCAACCAGAGCAGCACTGTGTCCTTCTCTCGCCGCTGGTATGTCGCCACTGGTGTCGGGTTTTGTCCAAGTGTAAGTTGCTGCATTGCATGACAGAGTTACTCTAGAAGATAAGACTAGAGCGCATTGCATGAAAGGAAGCTCTAGGAGTTGGTCGAGAAGTTACTCGTGTCAAGAACGTAGAGCTCGTTCAGCGGAGTCGTGCCATCGGTGCCACCGAAAACAAAGAGCTTGGATCCCGCCGCTGTGCATGTATGGCTGTCGCGGGGAGCTGGCAGCGTGCCCTTCAGAAAAGGCTTGCTCCACGACTTTGTCACTGCCAGAAACAAATTCAATCCAAAACAACGAAGAAACAGTGTAAGAAGGAAGGAATTTTTCCATCTGATCCACTCACCAGAATCGAAGACATGGACGTGGCTCGTCTCGATCTTGCCATAGCCGCCAAAGAGAAAGAGGCGCTTGCCATTGTTGACGGCAGTGAGCGTGTGACCCCATCGCTTGCCTGGACGGATTCTTCTGCCCGTTGCGCGCTCCTTGGCCACCTCTTCCCACCTCATCGCCTCCTCTTCCTCTTCTCGCCGCCGCCGCCGCCCTATAAAAAACAAGCCCGCATTTCAAGCTCGGACCGCGGTATATCCCTTCCGTACACTCGGCATATTTTTTGAATACAACAATATGCTTTACTCAAAAAAGAATCACGAGAAATATACAGTATCGAATCGAGCTGTCATGAGAAGGTCTAAGGCTGCGGTGGATCCGGGGGGCCAAGGCTGAGTGCATTCGTGGAGGCCGCAAGAGCGCGAGCGCTTCTTGGGCGATACGCATTCTCGCCACAATCGCGAGAGTTGTAAACGAAAGGCTCGGCCGCGGTAAATCTCCTGCCATCGCTGCTCGTTCGTATGATCGGTCTCACGTCTGGCATGGAGCTGGAGGCCGGCGATAAGCCACAGCCACTTGGGCGCTCGAGCACGGACACCCGGCAATCCCTCTCCAAGTTGTAGCCGCTGGGAACATCCACCGACCATTTCCCGGACGAGTCCGTGGTGCTACTGCCACTGACACGAGCACCATTGCACTCCAGGAACGCAACAACACCTGGATCAAACCATGCCGAGAATGTAAACTCCACTAGAACTGGTGGAACTTATAGAGATGGAGATAGTACGGACCAGGCAGTGCTATGTTCTTGATGCTGCGCCCTTCGTGGCAAATCTCGCAATAGACCGAAGCTTCCACGACTGCCCGAGAAGTGATCTCGTGCTCTAGCAGCCGACACCCCGCTGCCAAGAAGTGGACCTCGATTGTTACTATCAAAAGCCAAGCCATCAGATACTTTGATGATTGTCCCTCCATGGCAAACTCTCAGATGGCTGTGCGCCGAAACATACACCTTTTAATCTGCGCGAAGTCAAAAATGGACATCACAGTGATGCATAATCGTAGAAAGTTCCAATTCGCAGCTTCTCTGTCGAAGGCAAGAGAGAAACGTTGACATCTGCAACCAAGGAGAAATGGTCATTGGTATGGTTTAGTCCACACGTTGAATTTATGAAAGCTTGGAAGTACCTCTTTCTCTTTCGGCTAGTCTCCAGCCTCCGCTGCGTTACTGCTAGACGTTTTCTTTGGTTTCCCATTGATCGCAAAAGCGAGCCGGATCGTGGAGCCATTGACAACGCTGTACTGCTTGCAAGCGACAGCTTCGGTTGCTTGTTCTTTGGTAGCAAATCGAACTCGTGCTCGCGGCTTCCCTTCCTCGGATGCAAACACCTCAGTGGCAGCTATCTCGCCATGCGGGGAAAAGTGAGTGATGAGCTCTGCATCGGTGACACCTGAAGGGAGTCCCCACACGTAAATTGTTGGCGAGGGACCGCGACAGTTTCTCACAAAGCTGGGAAAGAAAATGTTGTCGTGCGCGTCTGTGTAGTCCCGGCTCTGGTTGAGATTAAGCTCCTTGTCTACAACCACAGTGTCCAGTTCTTTCTCGAAAACCCGCGCACCCTGTAGCCATGGTAGCCGACGTTAGTTTTGAACATGTCTCCATAAAGGGAGGAAGTTACCTTGAGACAGGCCGACGCCAGTTCCGCTTGAAACGCGTCGCTCATCTCTATCAGGCCCTGACCGGTGACTTTTATCACCTGCACCTTTCTTATCTTTCCATATGGAGAAAAGAGATTGAAGAGCTTGTCCTCATCAACTTTCTGCAAGTCCAAGCATAAGAATCAGCCGAACTTCCAGAAGGAGAAGATTACCTCGACGTTCAAGTTGGACACGCGCACAACCCGCTTCCGCCGGCCGATGAAAGGCGTGGGAACAACGGCTGGTGCTCCAGCGGCCGCGTCCTCTGCAGTTAGTGCCGGTACACTTTCAACGGGCGGAGCACCCAGAATCGATGGATCGCTCCGTACTCTTGAAGGAATGGAAGTGTCCTTGAAGTCCCTGCACAGAAACGATTAGCCTGAGAGCTTGGGCCTGGCATGGAGCTCTCTACCTGTTGTTGTCATCATTGAAATACACTCCAAGTTCCTGGGACCTTAAAAAACATTATCGATTAGAAAGGATGAAGTGAAGAAACAGACAAGGCACACACTTGGCATATTGTATTTCCATCTTACAGCAACCATCGAAAATGTGACGATCATTGAGAAGATCTTTGACGTGAGCAGCAGTTTTTACGGAATCGAATTGTATGTACCCGCAAATACCTGCACGCGAATAGATTCCATAAGACATCACGCGGAAGTGTGATACAAACTTACCAAGCTTGCGGGATATGGTTATCTTCTCAACGCTGCCATGGGGGCTGAACACCCTGTGCAGCACATACACGTCGATAGGATAAATTGGATTGGTAACAGTCACTGCAAGGACTTTGCTGCTCGGGCCTTGTTTCTGCAAAAGAATGTTTGGATTTTAGATGGCTTTACGCTATACGTCTAGCACGAACCGGATCAGCTAGACGGGACACATCCTTTTCTAGCTCTTGAAACCGTGAGAATCCAACATAGATTTCTGCTTTCCTGTTTTCACGCAATTGGAACAAACGGAAAAGGAGACAAAAATCACTTACTTCACGCGTGCCTTTTCCGAGGAAAAGTGATCAACGACCTTCTTAGCCTGCTTCACATTTTTCATCTCCAAGAGCGCCTGAAAGAAAGACACGAAATGATCCTTTGAGCTTCTCTGTTGACAAGTACACACCTGAGTCCTTGTCGTCAATCGGTAACTCGTCACGCTTCCAAAAGGACGAACCAGTTTCTCAAGCTCACCCTGGCAAAACAAATCCGAAATCCTTATGTTATCTTCTTTTCTGCGATCTAGACCGCTCATCCGTCTTATGTATGGCGTGAGATTGCGAAAATGTAAGACCTTGGACGGCTCCAGCTCGAGCTTTGATCCATTCTCGTCGAGCGATTTGGATTCTAGAGCGCCAGCGGCAGGAGAAGCACAGTAGCGCCTGGAGAAGAAGAGATCTGCGCTCCTGACGAGCAGGCGCCGCGGCGCAGCTTGGTGCATTCTTCGCCCCTCTCTACATAACCCTTAAACCCTAATCGATAAACCCTAAATCACAGCGAAAGGTATGTTTTAAAGGCTTTAAAGGGGGAATGCTTCGTCCCAGGCGCTGCTACCATCGCTTTGCTTGCGGCGCGTATCCTCGCGAGCCCGAGCTCCCAAATCCTGCCCCCTGCAAGGTGCTCCATCTCCGCAACCTGGCGCAGGATGTGGCCGAGGTGAGTAGAAGAGATCGATCGGATTGTCGCAAGAAGAAGAATCGTTTGTGTTTCCTACCTAGGACGATCTTGTGGAGCTTGTTCGCCCATTTGGAAGAGTCAGCGGCATTGTTCTCTTGAGGACATGGAATCAAGTAAGCGAGTGAGAGCTTCTTTGTTGCTCACTGTTGCCTTGCTCTCGCTGTGAAAGGCTTTTGTTCAAATGCAAGATATCGCCAAGGCCTTTCTAGTCATCCGGCACTTTGCTTCGCGCCAGGCAACCGTAAGGTTGGAGTGCTCGCATTCTCCTTTTCGCTCGTAACTGAGATCTCTTCTCAGGGGGAGGGACGTTTCCATCCAGTTCTCTGCTCGTAAAGAGCTCTATCCGGCCGAGGTAGTCGACCACTTTGCTTTCTTTTTCTTGCTAAAGAGCGCCAAGCTCAGGAAACATGCAGCCCAATCCTTCTAGTGACGATGCTAGACTCGGTGTGTCACGTTACCGTGGATGCCCTCCATCAGACCTTCAAGAGTTTCGGGCCCATCGAGAAGATTGCCATCTTTCCTCAGTCAACTGGTAGGCCTGCCTCGTTTCATAGCGGCTTTTCATGTCTTTCTTCCACAGTGCTTGCGCAGGCACTCATCCAGTACGCTTCTCCACGAGATGCTCGTGAAGCCAAGCATCGTCTCCACAAAAGCAAGATCTTGAACGGGTCGTGCACTATGGAAATCCAATACTCAAGGTGAGTTTGTACCTTTCTAGTCACTCGTCCTTCCACTTTCTCCCGTTTCCAGGACCGACGAAGTTCGTGTGGCATGCAATAACGATCTTTCCAGGTACTACGTTCCGGTTTTCTTTTCTCCCAGTCATGTATATCTGGTGGTTCTTTTCTGGCAGAGACTTCACGAACAGTTCTTTGCCAAGTGCAAGGTTTCCGTCCATTCTCGGCGCAGGAAACGCTCACCTGATGAAACCCGGTGTCCGATGTCGGTACAGAGTTTGATACGTTTTTGTCTTGCTGTGCTACAAGCCAGGGAATTCCGGGCTGTTGCCTTCAGGTCCAACAACGAACCAGCGCTGCGTGCTGCTCCTCTCGAATCTAAACACGCGGGTATGAGGTCGTCTCAGCGGTCCTTCAACTACGTAGGACTGAACAGCTTGAACGCCGTGGCTTGTGGCTTGTGGCTTGCAGATGATAAACGAGCACAAGCTGTACAACCTCTTCTCGGTCTACGGAAATGTCCTGCGAATCAAAGGCTCCTTTGTGAAACCAGAGCTCGCACTGGTACAGATGAGCGACGGCTTCCAAGCGGACCTTGCGATGGCCTGCCTCAAGGTATCATGTCGAGTTTAGCTTGTGCTTGTCACTGCTGAAGCGTGGTTGCAGGGAGTTTCACTGTTTGGAAAGAAAATGGAGATCACTCTATCAGATCACTCATGCTTGCGGCACCCTCACACGCATTTCTACAGCTGGGGGACTGGGAACCGGTTCCTGTACGCGTATGCCAAGAAGTGCTGCCCCCCGACCAAGGTGATCCACGCCTCCAACCTGGTGCCGGACATCCAAGAGGTGGACGTGGTGAGGCACTTCGCGGAGCATGGTGTGATCGTCAAGGTGGAGGTGTCGCAGGCGAGGGAGGGGAGGAAGCGGAGGGAAGCTCTGGTGGAATTCACCAGCGTCGAGAGTGCGACCGAGGCCATCGCTTGCAAGCAGTGGAGCTCCTTGAGAGGTGCCAGGGCGCGCCTTGTCTACTGGAGGTTCCATGCTTTCAGCCCCGGATTTTAACTTCCGGCATTTGATATAGTCTCTTTTTATGAAAATACCAACATAGGTGATCTGTAAATGGAAAAATTGTGAAATAGGATCTAGTTTCAATCCTGTAAGTTTCCAAATCTGATGACATAATAAATTAATTTCTCTTGCGATAAATTTCAGGTCAGAAAGTTATTTATCATATCCTTTACTATAATTTTTCAATTAAAAGCCCTAACCCTTAAAACTTTGTGCAGGATGTCACCAATGGATATTTTGCCATGTGGCAAACTGTATGGCAAGTTTTTTCAAGAATGCAAAAGCACAAAGTTGGTGAGAGTACTAGAGTTCTTAATAAATATTTAAAAACATATTATATCCTTTACTATCTTCCAAGAACCATAACCCTTAAACCCTTGTTCACACATTACTAATGGATATTTTGCTATATGACCAGTTGCACAGCAAGCTTTCCAAGAATGTGGTGAGAGTACTAGAATTCCCAACAAATATTTAAAGACTTAATAGACCCCTCAATCAGACACACATGTAATTCCCAGTTATTTAACTTGCAAGATCCAATTAATTTTGCAATTGCCACTTAGATCTAACATGGTCTTTATTAGAACTGAGATCAAAAGGCATTATACCTTGCAAATTCCACTACACTGTGCCCAATTGAGAATTTAGAAAGTTGCAAGAGATGTTAAAGATGCTTTATTATTAATGGTTAACTGAGTGCAATTTCATTAACACTTCATTGCTTACTAAAAAACATTTTAAAACATTGTTAATCCTTTATTTTTACCCTCATTTATATAATCAGCTCTCCTTGCCAATTTCCACTAAATCTCTACTGTTTTCTAATGCAAATTCTCCTCCCACCATTCACAAGGAATATAGGTGCATTTCACACGCCTCGAACAAAGCACAACTTCGAAGGTTTGGCATTAATCAAAGATTAAGGTTTTAATAGCTAGTGAAGGTTGCATCTACGCCGTTGGATATGGACGGCCAGGATGTGCTCCCGGCTGTGGAAATATCTTGCTAGCCCAATCTCTTGCTTGGCTTGCTATCCTGGGTGGGGCGAGAGAACGAGCGGCGAGGGTTTACACTAGGGTTTAACGCGGGGCGCGCGGGGCGGGGGAGAGAGATCGCTCCGCCATGTCCAGCAGCCAGATGGTATCTCCGCCCCGCGAGGAGGATTTCAACAATGAGCTGGAGGAGGGCGAGGAGGAGAAGATGGACATGTCTCTGGGTAAATTTTCGCTGCACTGGCACTGGCATTGGCATTGGCATTCTCTGGCGCTGATGGATGAAATGCGCGCTCTTTCTTCCCTGTGTAGATGAGATCATCAAGCTCAACCGCGACACCATGATGCAGAGCCCCGTGAGAAGCAACAATTCACAGCGCAGCAGCGAGCGCCCTCCGCCGCCGCGGCGAGACGCCCGAGAGGCAATTCGTCGCTCCGCGGCCTCTCGCTCCGCCGCAATCCGCCAGGCATGGAAAAAAAAAGGAAGCTTTTGTGCAAGTATGGATGTGACTTGGGCGTTGTTTCTCTCCTCCAGGGAAGGATTCCCGAGCGAAGGAGCGAGACTTTCTACTCTGGATCTCGGCCGTATCACGCACCCATCAAGAGCCGTGTTGGCGGCGGGGGCGGCGGCGGTGGCGGTGGCAACAGGTAGTTTGTATGGTTTTGGAGCGGAGGTGGCTAAAGACTTGGTTGGCTTGCTACAGGAACGAGATGTTTAAGCGGAGTGGCTTCCCCCGGAAGCACTTGGCTCCCGGCGATAGAGTGGATATCTATGAGGGAGCCGCTGGGAAGCTCAAGATCTCGGTGGTGAATGAGAACAGCAAGTGAGTCTTGGATGGTGCATTACCACTTTTTTTTCTCCTCTCTTGCCTGGACTGCTGCTACTGGTGGCTGCTGTGTGGGGTGGATCCTGAAAATGGCAAGAGCCTCTGGCAAGAACAGCAATGCGGGTGGTCGACAGAATGGTGGACCGCCCGCCCGCTCGCTCGAACGACTTTGGTCTTTGGTGGCTGCTCTGGAATGGCTGTCAAGCCAAGGCGCTGGTTCTTTCGATTCAAGCGATCGTCGTCGGTGTATAGTAGTATGCTGGCTGGCTGGCTGGATATGGATGATGGATGGAATGCTCTCTCTCTCTCTCGCTCTGGATATCTCTCTGATCTTTTGATGACGGTTTCGTGGTTTTGCCAGGCCAGCACCAACGCAAAGGCCACCTCCTCCAGGGCGTGGGGGAGGCGGCGGTGGCGGCGGCGGTGCGAGAATGAACTGGGACAACGAGTTTCGAGTTCGTGACGATCTGGACGACGACTTTGAAGACTACGACCGTCCAATGCAGGTCCAGCTGAGGATGCCATATGGATCCAACAAGGTATGCATATGCATAGCTTCTCGGCTTTCTTTTTTCTCGTGGTGAAAGAGCTCACACACTTGTTGCTTTGTTCGTGGCCACAGTTGGATGACTACTCCGATGTGCCCAAGAGGCACCGCACTCTCGACTCCTTGTTTGCGAGCATCAAAGAGCAGCGCGAGTTTGGACGCGTTCAGAACTTTGGCTCCGGAAGATTCCGTGCGCAGTCTTTCAGGAAGCGGTGAACGACACCTCGTAAAACAGAGCCTTCACTCCTATAAGATCAGCCAACTTATTATCTTCTGTCTCTTGATTTCATGTTTGTCACGCCTGTACATAGTATCACCACCTATTTGCTCAATGCTTGGATCCCAAGAAAAATATACGAAAACTTCCAGAAGGTTTTTATTCTTATTTCCCAAAGAATGAACGAGCTACTTATCCCAGGTGACCGCGTCCCGGAGCTCGGCAGAGTGGACACGAACCATTCTTGAGCTTGGCCAAGCATGAGCGCGACGAACAGACGTGTGCGCACGTCCTCGGCGTCGCTGCTGCTGCTGCTGCCTGCTTGCAAATCACACACTGCCAGTGCTCGTCCGTCCTCAGTGATTCTTCTGGAAATATCATGTTCTTCCTGGAGCTTGAAACCTTCTCCGACCGGGAGCGAGTCACCGAAGGCGAAGGGCGTGGCCCAACGTCGTCCATCTTCCGGCGTGTTGATGGAGGAGGAATGGATCCGGCGTGAGAAACTAGAGTCTCGGACCTTGTTCGGGCTAGCCTCTCGCCTTTGGAGGCCTGCTTCTTGCACTACAGTCGCACGAGTTTAGACGATGGGTGTGTCACTCTAGAACTAGTTGCTCACCTGTGGAATTCCCTTGCAAGCTTTATAGAATTCCGACAGCTGTTGCTTGTCTCCGTGCTCCTGGGAGTAGAACTTGAACTTCGTCTCTGCCAGGGATGGATGAATAAGCATACAATTGCTAGCTTAAAGACGAAGGCTTACTTGTGACTTTGTCCGTTATGATCATTGAGGGATCTGATAGAAAGTAGTCTGGCTCCTCAAACTCGCTAGTAACACTTCCAAGAAGGATGACTGATTCTGGCATTGGAACCTGCTGACACAGACTCGCGTAAGGAAAAGAATAAACGGAAAACCATCTTGTGTTTCACCTTGCGAGAATTATAAACAACGAGTTCGTGCCTCGGAACGCCATTGGAAGTTACTTCAGATGGTAAAACCACCGCCCAGCTGCAAAGGAGCACAGCGTTTTAACAAAAATTTCTTTGGCTCAGGCGCAGCTTACATTCTTTTCATGATCTGAGAGCCTGCATTGTCTGTAACTTGTCGCAATATCCCCCTGAAGAGAGAAATCCAGTCCTTGGGAAAACACAAAATTGAAATGAGAAACTTGAAACAACAAGAGTGCGGGCGTGTACCTCTATCACGCGTACCACAGAAGCATGGCCTCGTATCCTTGCCATATCCAGAGCTGTTTGACCATCATCATTCACAGCCAATGCAGAAGCTGCAAAATAGTGCTGTTACAGATGTCTAGAGAACAGCTACCATACATACCACCACGAGAAAGAAGCAGCGCTACTATCTGGTCGTGACCCCTTTTGGCAGCATGATGCAACGGATATCCGGCATGTAAACCTTGAGGATTCAAGCAAACGGAAATGAGTTTTCTAACTCCCGAACAAAACGCTGAATACATTTACCGGATCGATATGCGTGGACGTTTGCACCCAAGCTGATAAGAAGACGTGCCATTTGGAGCAAGGTTCCATCGAGGCAAGACACGATGAGCGGTGTCATCCCGTTTTTGTCGGTTGACTGCATGGAAAAGAAAAAACAAACCACTTGAATATTAAAACACAAGGACTCGAGGAAAAAGAAAACCTGAAGCAACCTCTAGTGGAACAACTCTTGCACTGTGCAGCGTCCTCACTCTTGCTTCATCCTTGTTCTTGACAGCGTAAAAGAGTTCCTCCACCGGATGTTGAATTGGTAAAGGATCCTGCATGCCAATCCTTGGTAATTGTTGGAAAAGAAAGAAAAAAGGAAAGATTTCACGTACCACTTGTTGGTGCTGCACCTTTTGTTCTTCTTGTGCTCTTTGTTCTTGTTGTAGTTGTTGTTGAAGCTCCTCGAAGTTCTTCCTGCCCTCGTTCTCCAAACATTTCTCCTCCTTTTCGCTCGAGTCTTCGACGACGCTCGAGCTTGATAGCTGCTGCTCACTACTGCTGCTCCCTCTTATTCTCCTCTGGCTCAACCCCCGCTTGTAAGCAGCCGCTCTGGCTCCACAAGCCTGGCGCTCGCTTGTGTCATCTACGTCGACATCGAAGTAGCCATCTATGTTGTCCGAGCTCTCCCCAGAGGAGCCGACGCTAGAGGAGGCCCGTGAAGAGGCCCGGCCACTAGGAGTCCTACACGACACTGGGACTCCGCGTTGCTCCGTGCTCGACAAAGACCCCGAGATGGCACTGGTGGATTCTCGGCTGGTACTGGACGCCTCTTCCTGGAGCTCCTCGTCATGATCTCTCAGAGTGAGCTTGGCCAAGTCGGCGTCACCAATCAAATCCACAAAGCTCCCCTTGGGCAATCGCGCCTTTTGCTGCTGCTTGAGAATGTTGAGCCCCCAGCCATCGCGCGGAGCAGCGTCCATGGCCGGCTTGTCTTGCAAGGATTTGCTTCCCTGCTCACTCCACTTGTCATCTTGAAATGGCGTTGGCGCTGGGCTGGCAGGCTGTGATCTCCACCGCCTCGCCGTGATCATCGTTTCCTGGTGGAATTTCCCATCCTTGGAGATCATAATCCCTGCCGGTGCCGGCCGGCAAGAACTTACTTGGAATTCAGAGTGGCTGCTCCATCAGATTCTTGTTGCCTGCCGGATCCATGCCAATTCCTTTCGGATCCTCCTTCCTCCTCCTCCAAGAAGACAAGACCAAGATCCACACACTCACACACTCTGGGGAAGAAATCTTGGCGCGCTTTCTAGTCGCCTAGCCTAGCGCCGCGAGGGAAATGGGGGTCAAGAAAGCGCCATGGATTCCCAGCTCCCAGCAGCGAGGGACGCTGCTCTCTCACAGCCATCGCAAAAAGAGGCATTGCCCAAAACAAATCTGTGGCTCCTCGGCGCCATGGGAGCAGCTAATACGTTAGCCCTAATCTTTCAAAGTGTTTTCACCCTCCCTTTTCTTTCTTTACCCCTGCCGTGGAATGTGACACAGCACCTGATGCCCGCTCCCGCTGGCGGTAAAAAAGGTGAAAAAACGACGTGGCACCTCGTGTGAGCATTGGCTCGCTTTCTCACCTCTCTCTCTTTCTTTTTGGAAGTTGGAGTTAAAAGCTTTGCTCCAGCGCTTGTTGAAACCACCACATTGATTTGTCCAGAGACACACTGGTATGATCCAGGTCTTTTTCCTTTGCTTCACTTGTTCTTTGTCCATTCTCCCTCAACAATCCAGAGCAACGAATCTATTCGAACAATTCACATATTCCACCAGCTAGTCTGTAACCATGACTTGATCTTCCAAAGTATCCTGATCCTGGCAGCCAAAACCACGTAAGTTTCAACTTGAGGCACCGTCTTAGAGAAGTAGAAAAGCTTACTTGCGATTGCGAGCCTTCGAGCATCCTGCGGTATTGATCGCGGCCTTGCTCGGAGCGCGCCATGGACTGGACGCGCGCCACGGCCTTGTCCAGCACAATCTCCTTCTGCTTCCGCCCCTCCCGCAGATAATCGTCGTCGTCGCTGCTCACGCCATTCGTGTTGTCCGGCTTGAATCCCCGCAGACCCACGCGTTTCCGCCTCCATCGCAGCACCGCTTTCTCGATCACGCTCACCACCCGCAGGATCTTCCGGAGCTGCTTGCGAACTTGGTGGCCTCGGACATGCGCCTGCGTTTGAAAACAACGTTAGAACAAAAGTTGACGGACGCAGCAACATGCTACACGTACTTGGATCCTGACTACGTGCCTCCTCAGCGCCAGGAAATCCTTGCGGCCTTTCCAGCCGCGGAACTTTCGCTGGATTTGCAACGCGGCCACCGACTGCATCCTGCCGTGATGATCACGGTGGCCCTGGGCCCTCCGAATCGTCTGTGCCATGGCATGGAGCTCGGTCGGCTGCATGCCCAAGTCATCGGGATTTTCCTCGCCGCCATCACCCCCGCTCCTCCTGCGGAAAGAGTCGAGGCGGTACGCCGAGTGTATGAGCGCGGCGGCCTTGGTTGCGTTCCTCACGGCCGAGAAGGACCTGAGTAGCGACTGGTGCTCCTCGTCCACGGGGCGTTTCATCTCCTGGACGGCGCTCTCGCCGGCCAGCGTCGCAGACATGCTGTTGATCTCGTTCAAGCTAGTGTCCGCGATGGTGAGCGACGAGAGGTGGCCAGTGAGCGCCTTCTCCGCCAGAAAGCCGGCTATTCCCTTGTGGCCAGCGGCCGAAGCCAAGTCCGAAGGGAGCTGACCGTTTGGATGCTTGGAGGTGGGATCGGTCACAAGGCTTGGATTCGTGCCGGCTGCTATGAGCGCAACAACAGTTTCCTCCCTGCAGTATAGCACGAAAGAGTGTAAGAAAGAGGACGACAAACTAGAAAAGGTGACAGACCTTCCAAATGCCGCAGCCCAGTGCAAAGCGGTCCAGCCGCGGACGTCCCGAAAGTTTGGAACAACACCGGCGTCCAGGATCGGTTTCAAGGCCCAGTCGTAGCCAAGTGCCGAGGCCATATGTACAAGGCCTTGGCCATGCTCGTCGAGGACGGAGGCACTGCGTTTGGAACCCAGCCACAGCTCTAAGTCAAGCTTGAAGTAGGCCTGCAGCAGCATCTCCTTGACGCTCGTAGCACTCAGGCTGCGCGCTCTCACAGCGTCCTCCATCTGCTTCCACTCGACTGTAGCCTTTGGATCATCGCCCTCATGAGCCGAGAGTAACATCTTCGAGAATCTGAGTTGAAGCAGCGCTTCCCTCTCAAGCTGTCCACTTTGCTGCTCGGGGACGTCACGGATCTCAAACTCTCGCACCTCGCTGCATGCTAGCCGGTCGCTACATGTTATATAGAAGGGTATCCTTCTCCTTCCTGGGCCTCGCGGAGGGACTTTGCACCGGAGGACGCCCACGTCTATAAGGTCCGCCGGAACTTCAACGTCCCCAAACATGCAGCACCATTTCACGTCCAGCGGTTTGCTAACAGTTGGCAAGAACCTCCCGGAGACGAGAACCTGTGATTCAAAACTTAGACGCGACATAAGTATATGTGAGACGAGACCTTGGTTTCTTCGTTGGAAGGAGCCCAGTCCGGAGAGAAGTCTGTAATGCTAAACCGTTGGACCTGGGCGATGGAGACACTCATGTCAAGCTGCATTTGCGTAGAGAGGTTGGAGGTTTCTTCTCTGTCATTATCATCGTCGATCCAAAGGGAGCCCGAGTCCCCAGGAGCGGGCGCGAGTAGCGCCCCTGGACTATCGTCACCCATCTCTTGCATCACCCATCGTCCGAAACTATCCAGTTTCTTGAGGTTGTCGGCCGGGCTCTCTTCCTGTTTGACGGGCTTTGAGTTTTTTACCGGTGCGCTCCCGGTGTCGAGCTCGTACTGCTGCGCCTGCCAAGGCTGATGAGCTTGCGGCTGCTGCTGCTGCTGCCAGGTATTTTGATATGCATTTGTCTACACATGAAGTCCTTGAGTAAAGCAGGTCAGCGAGAGAAGGAGAAGCTTTTACCTGTTGAGAAGCACGCCCCATATCCACAAGGACGTTTTGTGCTGGCGGAGGAGAGGGAACGCTCTCTCGCCAGCGTTGCTTTGTCTGCATGGACGTGTTAGAGACTACATGTAAGAAGTGACAATATAATACACTCACCGGAGAGATGCTTTGTGCTGTTTTCATGGCGTTCTCGGCTGTGGCAGCACGGAGCTGAGCCTCGAGAAGTGACTGTGGTTGACGACCCAGTCCCCGAGGAGAAAGAACATCCATGATCGCTTTGGGACTTAGACCCGCTCTAGGTGACGACTTGAACATACAATCCTCAAATTTCATGGGCGAGACTTGTCCCAGCAATGCATCCCTGGTAGCAGGGGTAGTACACTGCTCTAAAGTCTCTTTCCATGACACCTCTTGCACCTCTTGCTTGACCGGGCCATTGGTTGGATTTTCTCGATAGCTTCGCAGAACTTCATTCCATCCGCTCGTGTCCAAGCTCACGGCAGGAGTGAGCCCCTTCTGGCCGAGGAACTTGTCTGCACAGAGTTTTTCAAACGAGCTGTCTGTCAGAAAGCAACGTCCGCTCGAGTCATACCTGGACTGTCTAAGAGATCGTTAAGATCAATATCATCTCCCAACACACCACCACCTTGTCCGGACTGAAAAAAACCCCCCTGCTGCTGCGGCTGCTGCTGCTGCTGCTGCTGCTGATAGACGGGATCTTGTTGAGTTTCCGACAGAAGCACAGACCAATCCTTTGACGAGAGTTGATGAAACAGGGATGGCTGCGGCTTGGAAACTTCTGGTGGAGGCAGCGGCGGGTCTATCTGTTCGACATCGTCACTTGAATCCACATCGTCGTGCTCCGAGGATACTGAGGGTGACATTGCGTGCGAGAAAGCTTCCGGATGCTCTGGAGGTCTGTATGAAGAAGCACGACCCTGGAAAAGAAAAAGAAGTCAAAGCTAGAAAAAGAAAGAGAGACACAAGCACCGCAACACTGACCTGGTGTACTTGAAGGTAGTGAACAAGAACAATGTGTTCGTAAGCACTGCAAGTCACAATACAAGTGAGAAAAATATTTCCATCTCAAGTTCTTTTGGTATACCCTTCCAGCATCCAGTAGCTCCGGCGTTGAAAGTTTGGATCCTCTTCTCCATGGGCATAGTAACAATGCAGCACGTCAATGCTCCCAGACTGCATACAAGAGACCGCGATGGTGATGGCCTTGTTGTTTCTAGAAATAAAAATCAAACCTTGAGCCTCTCGTGAGCCTCGCGAACAGTCTTGCCGTCTTTCTTCTTCCTCCAGTTGTGTCCATCCTTCCGGAAGTACCTCAAAGCCTTGCGATCAAACAAGAACAAGGAGCCACCTAGTAGTAGTAGCCGCAAGTCACAAGTCAGTGCGACACAGGCAAGGAAGGAGCAAAGGATCACTCACTGGCGGGCCTGTTGGGTGGAACGGGGTTGAGATTGAAGCCGTAGCTCTGATAATGCCGAAGAATCTCGCACACTTCGGGTGGTTTGAGCCATCGCACGCAAGCTTCACTGATGATCTGCCGGATGCCGAGGTCTGTTTGGTCACAGATCCTTGTTATCTCTTCGATCTTCAAATTCTCCACTCACCTTGCTGCGGCACTCCGCGGACTCTTCCACCAGTCGCCATCTCGGCCTTCTGGAACAGCGCGCCTCACACCGCCACGGCATCCAAGAACCCTAATTCCTACCTCGGTGGGAAGAGACCACGGTCGAAGCTCCCGGGTAGCTTCCTGCCAGCCGCGAGTTTTGACTGGCCAGTTGACTGGACCGTTGACTAGTTTGGACCGATCTAAAACTTCTCGAAAATGTCTAGCTGGATTTCATGGCGATCTGTTTGACAAGGTAGCGATGGATCGATCTAAAGTCTGGACAGAACTCCTCGAATTCGGGAGGCCTTTGGAAGACGATGGACGCCGCGCGGATGAGGATGGCGGCGGTGAGCCCCCAGATGACGTACTTGTTGCCCTGGTACTCGAGCTCGAAGTAGTGTAGCATGTAGCTCCCTCCACACCGGTTGTGCTGCTCCGATCGATGCTTCTCGTCCTGTTTGTTTTCCAAGCGCTTTTAGTTCACGCGATCGAGATGATAGACCAAGTCGAGATCGATATGAGAGACAAGTACGTACCCGGAGGAACATTTCCAGCGGCGCATCGAACAGGGACTCCACTTCCGCTTGATTGCAGCAAGGAACGAAGCTCTGTGCGTCGGGAAGGATGGCCACGACTGGGGTCACCCGGAGGAAATGCTGGACAGTGCTCACTCCAACTCAGTGGAATCAATCAAACCAAGCTTCAAAGAATGGAGTACCTTGGATAGAAAGGGCTCTAGCGAGGCAACAACTTGGATGGATGCCGGCTCCAAACCAATCTCCTCGTAAGCCTCTCGAACCGCGGTGGCTGCATCATTCGCGTCCGATTCGTCCCTCTTGCCACCGGGAAGTGCCACCTCTCCTGAAAGAGTGAAGCGTAGCATTCTAGCTCTCATGCATGCAATGGAGGTAGGCGCTACGCTTACCTGAATGGGTGGAGAGCGAGATCGCCCTCTTGGTCAGAATGACGCGGATCTCTCCGGCGGCCTCGAACAAGCAGATGAGCACCGCCGCCCTCTTTGGAGCAATCTGGTCGTCGATCAACAGCTCCGCCGCCTTGTACAAGCGAAGCTGCTCGACCGCCCGGGTCAATGTGTCGCTACCCCACTCGCCATCCCTGGCGATGGAGACCATCCTCCCTCCTCACCAATTTGCCCTAGCTACAAGCTCACCTGTGCGTCCATCTTGCCTGAGTCGTCCGCCTACGTTGACCTGTCATGACCTGACTTGACTTGACCGTCATGACCAGGGTTGACTGAGGTTGGCGAGAAGCACGTAGGGGTAGGAGCGGCCGGGCTCGAGGTGGGTGATGGCCTCGGCGGCCCCGCGCGCAGATGCCATGACTTCAACTATAGGGGGAGCGTTGCGGCAGGCACTGAGGAACGACTTGAACGTGGCCGGATCCGGGTCGATTGGCATCTCGGCCATGATATGGTGCGCATCTCCCACGCGGCCAGCCCGCCCGAGCAAGTCCACCATGCACGACCAATGCTCCCGCGCTGCCGCCATCCCATGGTCGCTACACATTGTGGCGAACAGGAAGACACCCTCGACGACCAGCCCGGCATGGCTGCACGCCGACAGGATGCTTGTCATCACCATGTCGTCCAGCTGCTGCCCCGACAGCTGCATCTCCTGGAAGCTGGTCATGGCGGCATCGCCCAGCCCCGCGCTGGCCAGCACCGACGTCATCTCCGTCCATGCCACCACGTCCGGGTCGGGCATTGCGTCGAACAGCGCCTTCGCGCTGCCAACGTCCCCGGCAAGCGAGTAGGCGCGAAGCAGTGCGTTCCAGCCGATGGAGCTCCACACCGGCATCTTGGCCAGAATGTCCACGGCCGACGCAAGCCGGCCGCTGCCCGTGTACCCCGCCACCAGGCAGTTCCATGTCACGATGTCGGGTGCCGGAGAGGCGTCAAACAGCGCCTTGGCGGAGTCGAGGCGACCGTGGAGCGCGCGCACGGACACGGCGGTGTTCCATGTCATGACGCTCCACGCCGGCATTCTCCCCAGCAGCGCGTCCGCTTCGTCGCAAAGCCCGTTTCGAGCATACGCCGCGGCCATGGCGTTGAAGAGCACCAGGTCTTTGTGCGGGGCCTGCTCAAACACCCTCCACGCCTCGCCCGTCAAGCCCTGATCGCCGTAGCTCGCCACCATGGCCGTCCACGCCACCTTGTTCCACGCGGGCATCCGCTCGAAAGCGAGCCTGGCCTTGCCAACTTCCCCAGCTTGCGCATAGCCCTGCAGGAGAATGGTCCACGAGAACACGCTGGGCTGCGGTGTCGCATCAAACACAGCCTTGGCACGCTCCATTTGCTTGCTCTGGCAGTAGCCCATGGCCAGAGTGTTCCAGGAGATCTCGTCCACCGGACAGCAGCCAGCCGAGAAGACGTCCTCGGCGGCTTGGAGGTGGCCGGCCTGGGCGTAAGCGGAGATGATGAGGTTCGTGGAGATCGTATTGGGCTGTCGAATCGCATCAAACACGGACTTGGCATCCGACACATGCCCGAGTTGGGCATACGCTCCGAGAAGGATGTTGAGGGAGACGACGCCGTGCTGCGGCATCTTGAGTAGGACGGAGCGAGCCTGGCTTGCCTGACCGACCTGCGCGAGCCCGGACATGAGAGTGTTCCAGCACACGAGATTCCGCTGCGGCATCCTGTCGAACAGGTTCTTGGCCTCGGCAACATGCCCATTCTGGGCATACGCCTGGGTGATGATGCTCCAGGAGAAGAGGTTGGGCTGGGTGATGGACTCAAACGCGCGACGTGCGTCCTCCACGCTGCCGCAGTTGCCATACATCTCGATGGTGAAGTTGGCCACCAAGCGGTTCCGGTTGTGGGCGGTGTTGAGGATGTGGGAGTGGAGGCGGCGAGCCTCGCTGAGGTCTTGGGCATCTCCACACTCCTTGATCAGTGCTACCAAAAGTTCTCTTTCCTCGACTAAACGCGCTGCTCCTCCTCCTCCTCCTCCTCCCGCCCGGAGCATAAGATTCCCCACTCCTTTGATACCTCGCCTCGCGTGAGGACCACGCGCGCATAGTCTTCGGTGCTTCACCAAGTCACACTACCTACAGCTTGAAACATGGACTTTTCCAAATCATCATTGTAGCAATCTTAGTCCTCATCGACCTGATCATGAGCAAGGAGCAGCAGCCATGGATGCAGGGGATCACGGACGAGCAGCGGAGCGAGCTTCGCGAGGCCTTCGACATGTTTGACACGGATTCATCAGGTTTTCTTCACATCTCTTAGTTGAATTCTTTTGATCTATGTATCTATCATCCCAGGAACGATTGATGCGAAGGAGCTCAGAGTCGCAATGAAGTAAGTCGATATCCTGTTTGGTTTTCCTTGATCCCTGGCATGATCTAGAGCACTGGGATTCGAAACAAGCGCACAGGTAACTTTCGATAACTTTCTAGAGCATAGAACTCAAAGCTGTGGCAGGAGATACGAGACATGATGGCGAGTGTAGACGTTGACCAGAGCGGCACCCTCGACTTCGAAGAGTTTGTGGAGATGATGACCAAGAAGATGGGAGAACGAGAGGCAAAGCAGGAGCTGGTCCGGGTATTTGCAATCCTGGATGAACAAGGCCGGGTGAGTGGAGTTGCGTTCTTCAACTTACACGCTGAATGGTTGCCTGGTCAGGGCATGCTGTCCTTCAGAGATTTGAGGCGCTTGGCCGTGGAGCTGGAGCTGCCATTCAGTGACAAAGAAGTAGAGGACATGATCCGCGTTGCAGACTCTGATGGTGCGTAACAAACGTTTTCGATTTCTTGTTGCTACACGAACTTGTCTAGGAGACGGGGAGGTGACGGAGGCAGACTTCGTGCGAATCATGTCTGCGGCCGCGTCCAAGTCTGTCTAAAATCGCTGTGAATGAATTATATTTCCATGCTTTTGCATGTGTCTTAGACCACAGGCTTCGCAAGCTTGAGCAAGTCGGAAAGCCCGTTCGCGTAATAGTCCGGCTGAATCGTGTTGTCCGGGCTCTCCAAAGTTTTCAAGGTCGTCACACCTGAGAAAGACCAGCATGAAGATAAGCACTACATCAGTGAAGTGCACACGTAGCTACCTGACAAGACCAGAAGCGTCTTGCAGCCACCGTTTTGGCCGAACAAAATATCCGTGTCCAATCGATCTCCCACCATGCAAATCTGCGTTTTGGAGATGCCAAACCTGCACAAAGCAAGCCAGCCTTTTATGTGCTTCGCTCAAAGTCTCGCGTCTTACTTGTTGGACAGATAATCCATCATGAAAGTCGAAGGCTTTCCAACGACGAGCGGCTCCCTCTTGGTAGAAGCTTTGATGCAGCCAACCATGGCTCCACCTCCTAAGATTTGCGCACTTTAGTCACTCTATAGTTTAGCTCAACGAAAGTGCATTACCAGCCCACTCCTGTGCATCTGTAAGATGCGTAACAGCGTCGCAGTTTGTACCGATGAAGAGGCACCCCGGGTTCTCTCGAATGCACAGGGTGGCATACCTTCAAGGCAGCAAGTTAGATTCACAAAGCGCATGCTGTTGTTGCCACTCACTGGATTTTGTAGTAGTTGATGTAGCGATCGAATCCCACAACGACGGCACCCACGTCTTTGTCATGTTCCATTAGTTGCCCCGGTTCTAGATTGATCTTCCTATCAGCGTCTTCCTAATTCATCAAACAGAGGCTCCAATCTGTAAGGACGATGGTACACAAGCGTTTTGATGGAAGAAGAAACCACTCACAGGGCCACCGATGAAGTTTATTCCTGCCTGCTCCATCTCCTTTTGTATTCCAACTTCACCGAGAATGTAGACCTATGGAAAGCGGAGATAAGTGACAGCTCACGCAGATTTCTGAGAGAAACACACACCTTCTTGTTGGAAGGGAAGTTTATAGACTGCAAGTATGCGGCCGCGGCAAAAGACGAAGCAAAGATCTCCTCCTGCCACAATCTCCACAAAGATTACAAGAGCGCTCGGTGATCGAAAGCCTTTACCTCGTTCACGTTGAGCCCCAGCGTCTCAAACTTCTTCCCGTATTGTTTCCTCGACTTTGTAGAGTTGTTCGTGACGAAAACAAGGCGCTTTCCCTGCAAAGATGGTGTAAAATATAGGTAGAACTTCGTCACAAAGTACCATTCTTCGGAGCATATCCAGGGTCTCGGGCACGCCCTCGATGAGCTTATCCCCTTTCCATATCACACCTGGAAGATCGATCACCGGTTGGTCTTACAGAACACTCGGAGAGAGCGAGCGAGAGCACACTGACCATCACAATCGAAAATGAAAGTCTCGACGCTCTTGATGAGTTGTGCTGCGTCGTCGAGGTAAGGTGCCGCCTTGGCTGCTGCTGGCGCTGCTGCTACTGCTGCTGCTGGTGCTGCAAGAAGAATCTCTTCTATCAGCACAAACAAGAGGGAAACAAAGATCGCTCGCTCGCTCGCTTCCTACCAGTGCAATTCATGGCGGACGAGGATGACGACCCTAACCACCTTACACCGCATTGCTGCCCTTTCGTCCCAAACATTCCATGGCGCCTGGGAGCCCATCTGGTAGCTCTGGAGCTCCACAGCCCATGGAGCTCTAGCACCCTCTTATCCATTCCCCTCAAAGGTAGAGGCTAGTGTTTGCGTGGTTCCCTCTCCTCCTCCCCCTCCTCTCTCCTTGTTTATATAATCAATCACACAAGTTATACTTTATCTTCCTCCTCTCGCCAGTGATCACTACTAGTCCGCGATGGCGGCCAGTGCGCTGGGGGGTTTGATGCCGGCGCCGCCGCTGGCGCCAGTGCCGTGGGCATCTCCAACAAGGATTCTTCTGGTCAGACCAGGCGCTGCCGCCTCCTCCAGGCTGAGGTTTAGGGTTTTGGCCACGAGCACCAGGAATGCGAGCAGTTCCTCCGGGCTGGAGCGCTTCCTCAATGCGGTCACGAGCAAGGGATCGGTCCTGTGGCAATCGCTGGGAGGAGCAATTGGTGGCGACAACCACGACAAGTCCAAGTCGGGGCTGGCCATCTGCATTGCCTCGCTTGTGATTGCGCTGTCGGCGGTGGCGCCGCCGCTGGATGCCCACGCGTTTGTGACCGCTCCGCCCAGGAAGCTCCAGAGCGACGAGCTGGCCACGGTCCAGCTCTTCAAGCTCAACACTCCCTCCGTGGTCTACATCACCAATCTCGCCGCCAGGTTTGCTATAGCGCTTGTTTCATCTCCATCTCTCGTGATCACAGAGCTTATGCCTCACTTCACAGGCGCGATGCGTTCACGCTGGACGTGCTCGAAGTTCCACAAGGCTCGGGCTCCGGATTCGTGTGGGACAAGGAGGGCCATGTCGTGACCAACTTTCACGTCATCCGGGGGGCCTCGGATCTCCGGTACGCGATGTTGTTTAGCTCGGCTTGCTGATACAGTGATCTTTCCACTGGCAGAGTCACTCTGGCCGATCAGAGCGTGTACGAGGCCGACGTCGTGGGATTCGACGAAGACAAGGACGTAGCAGTGTTACATATCGATGCTCCGCGAGACAGGCTCAAGCCGATACCCGTGGGGACGTCGTCCGATCTCCTGGTTGGCCAGAAGGTGTACGCCATCGGCAACCCTGTAAGTAGTCTCGAAATCCTTTTCCATCTTGCCGCTGGCCAGCTCCGCGAGTGACTGACGTAGCTAGGGGGGCATGGTGTCTCTAGTTCGGCTTGGATCATACGCTCACCACCGGAGTCATCAGGTATCCTACATGCTTTCCTCTAGAAGTGAAAGTGTTCTAAGTTTGATCCTCGAGTAGTGGCCTGAGGCGTGAGATCAGCTCCGCTGCGACGGGACGTCCGATACAAGATGTCATCCAGACAGATGCGGCGATCAATCCTGGTAACAGTGGAGGCCCGTTGCTCGACAGCTCGGGAGACTTGATTGGGATCAACACGGCTATCTATTCCCCGTCGGGCGCTTCGTCGGGAGTGGGATTCTCGATACCGGTTGATACGGTATGTGGTTTTTCACGCGTGACTGCGTTGCATGACCACCATTGTACGTGGCCAGGTGAGCGGCATTGTGGAGCAACTCATCAAGTATGGACGAGTGACAAGACCCGTACTTGGCATCACTTTTGCACCCGAGCAATCTGTGGAGCAACTTGGCGTCAGCGGAGTGCTTGTGCTGGATGCCCCTCCCGGAGGACCTGCTGGCAAAGCGGTAACGCTTGAAATCGCTCATAAGTATCTATTCCAACTTGGATGCAGGGGCTGAGACCGACGAAACGAGATGGCTATGGTCGGCTTGTTCTTGGAGACATTATCACCTCGATAAACAACCAAAAGATCTCCAATGGAAGCGATCTGTACAGAGTTTTAGATCGATGCAAGGTTGGCGACAAGGTACATATCCTCTTCTTCCGGCTCCCGTTACACCGGTCTAACGATTCGATTTCATGTGTGTGCAGATAACCGTGGAAGTTTTGAGAGGAGAAGAGACGGTGAAAATCCCCATTACTTTGGAGCCTCGCGCGTGAAATATTTGTAGTATATTGTGTATGACTGTTGTGACAAGGCGTAAACCTGGTTTGTGGCAGCTCTTACAGGGAGGATCATGCATGGGAAAACTCTGCAGAGGAGATACTGTCCATGGTGAGTCTAGGATGTAAGCACACTAATTTCTATTTGGGAAGCAAGTTTAAGCAATTAATAAGTGATGATTATGGTGAAGAAATTGTTTGGTAGCCTCAATATTTGGAGAGTGATTCCACTTAGAAATGTCTAGAATTCTCCATATCATTACAATATGTTTTAAAACAAAATATTTGTTAGTATTGAAAATAAAACATCAAATCAAGTATTGGTTGACTCGAAACCATCTCAAAAGTACTACATCAAGGCGTGCTACAAGAGATACTGGAAAAAGTGTGGACCGTGTTTCGTTAAAGCGCATGCTTCTTAAACATGGATGCAAGAAGACCATACAGTGAGATAGAGAAACCCGCTCAAGAACAACTATTGAGGATCTCATCATTGGATTCGCCACAATATCCACACAAAGAGGGTGTCCACAGCACAATTTAGTTTTGTTGCAACACTTTGCTTACGGCATTTGCCCAAAATGGGCATTTGAAGAGGCACACACACAAGGACGTGTTCCAGGAACACGATGATCAAAACTCTCGTGGACCAGCCAGGCGAGACCAATGCTCCAGAGAATGCCGCAGCACAATCTCATCTCGTGGAACACTGCAATCCGGTGTTTGCCAAGGTATAAAGAGGTGTAAATATATCTTGTTCGGTATTCTGTGGGCAAATGCTAGGTGCGAAAATCCTAAAATTTTGTGTCAATAACCTGCATTATAGAGAATCATGATTCTGGTTTAAGTGCTCCAGAAGTGGCCAGAACTTGAATCTTGATGCTGTGCTTGATACTTACTGCCTTAGATGGAAAGGTGGAGTTGAAGTTGCAGTTATAAAATTTTTGGCTACTGCTTTTGTGGAAAAGCTCTGCAGCTCATGGTGTTGTTGTGAACATGGATTATCTCGGTCCCGTGAGTCTGCCTCTGGGCTAGAGTCGAGTGGTCTTTGTTCGTAGCAACCCTGCGATCCATCTGCAGTCGCCAGGGTTCGCAATGCGCTGGGAAAGCGCGACCTAGTAGGAGAGAGGCTACTCACCAAAGGTTTCTTGTACTACTCCGAGGCCTCCAAGGCTCCGATTAAGAGCATGCTTCCGTGGAATCACATTGGAAGACGACGAAGGTGGAGCCATTTCGAAGGTAGACCAGATGCGTTCTCCAGTTTCTTGTGCGAAAGACGAGCGAGGCACATCTTTGTCACGGCCAACGCCACCTTTTACAAGTACATTGGCTGCGAGCAAAGCTTGCGGGCGCACAGCATGCAAACTACGAACTGGACCGGACGCTATGACCCATCGCAGCTCAAGGGCACCGCGAACACAGACGTGCTGG